TTAGTGCTGAAGTCGGAGCCAGAGCAGTTACCTGTGTTGTTTCCTTGTCCCCCTCCCTCCACTTCTGTACTTGGATCCAAGACCAGGGTTTTTTTCCTCCCCATGCTGAATGAGGGGGGAAAATCTTTTAGTGGATTGAAGTAAATATAGTAATTGTTTACTGTACTACCATCTGATTTGAATTTGTGGATGTATTGGGATTTTTTTCCCATAACTTATAAAAAGATAATTGGCTGTGGAATGTAAATTCACTAATTTTATCCTATTTCTCAGTTAACATGGGGATCTGGGACAGACATTCCATCAACCAGTTTAACTTAAATCAGTTAAGTCTGATACTACATCCAGCCAGGCTGATCTTAAACTGGTTTCAGCCATTTTGAAGGCAGTTTGTGCACTGAACTTCTTTCTGTTACAGGCTTAAACTAGTTTCAGATCACATTAAACCTGTTTATATGTAACTTCTGTCCCTAGCCAAAGCAACTGAAGACCTGATACTTGGTCAGCATAAACTAGCTCCAAGAGTAATATAACTAGCTCATGCAAGAGAAGCTCAGGGCCAGTTGCTTCTATAGAAGATCCCATGCTGCTCTCTTCTCATATTGCTTGCATAGGGAGGAAAAATGTGGCACTAAGAGGGTGGTGTTAGGTTACTTTTGGAAAGTCAGATTTCAGGCTGTTTCAGTTGAGTGTTTTTTCATGGATTTCATAGATGTTAGGGCTGGAAGGGACCTCAAAGATCATCAGGTCCAGCCCCCTGCCCCAGGGCCAGGAAGTCAGCTAGGGTCAAAGGATCCCAGCAACATAAAAGCTAGTATTAATTAGACTGAATAAATCTGCAACAGGACTAATGCAGCATATAAATTTGTTGTAGTCTCCTTTCTGTGAATGTTCCACCCCAGGATCTGAGCCTGATAGTTCACAGAATGGTTTAAAGCAGACACAGTGAGTGGTTTAGAGTAACTTAAGGCTAGCAAGCAAGGTGTATAAGAAGTGTATGTGGTGAAGGTCACTTGGCTCTCTGGAAATGATTGCCTTAATGTATGTGAACTGAGCTGAGTAACACAACAGAAATGAAGACTCAGTTCGTTTATTTGTGACACAAGGCCAGCTTCAGTATCAAAATTCAAGTGTTTTCTAATTGGGCTCAGTTCTGACTTGTCCATTGATCTAATGAACAGTTTTTACATCCCAGTCTACATGCTGTTTTAATTTGTGGCACACTGGAGACACCAGTCATACAGTTCATTTGTGTAAGACTTATGGGTGCTCATTCACGACAAATGAAATTGGGACTCTCATTTATTTCAGCATATTTTACAGGCTATCAAAAATCCACTAGATTGTAAATATTCAGTGAAACTACTGATTTTTTTTTGAAGTGAAAAAGTTTAGTTTCCTGCTTTTAGTTTCCTTTGGGCCACTATAGCAGAGGCAACACAGACTAAGCCAGTGTTAAGTGATATCGTAGTAAAACCTCCTAGACCTATAAAATATGGAATACATATATGCAATGTGACCTTTACTTGTATATGAGGGGATTTTTCCACTTCAGAATAATTTTGTATTCTTTAGTGTTGCTTGTAAAATGTTGTTATCTCTGTTTAAAAATATCTAAAATAACGCAGTAGTGCGGGTAAGATGGGCCGAGGTAGCGTTAAAGTAATATTGTAGTGAAACCTCCTAGACACCCATTTATTAGCTTTTATTTACTTGAAAATGTAGCATATGCATGTAGGCTGAGAAGTCAATTGGGACAAGAAGGTGAGTGAAGAAATTTGGAGGACACTGGGAAGAGTGAGGAAAGACAGAGAAGAAAAAAAATGCAAACACAAAATAAAGTGCGTATAGGAAAAAAGCCAGTAAGATCCAGAATATGAATAGTAAGCCAGGGGTTTCAAACTCATCTGCCTGGTAGGCCAGGAGAGTGGCATGGGGGCTAGTCCACAGGGTGGGCTATCTTTTCAGTAAGCATAGTTACATTTTTCCAGGAAATAGAAGCCAATGGATGGATCTCTCCCTCAAACACACACGCACATGCAGTCTCTTATAGGCATTGTCAAACTCAGGGGCAGGCAGAATACAGCCCACCAGGCAATTTCATCTGGCTCATGGGTGGCCACCAATGAATTGTACCCCACCCAGCCCACACACCTTGCTCCCATCTTCATGGGTGGAAGGGCCTGGCCCAGCCAGCATGCAGCTTCTGGGCAGGGCTGCTGCTGCAGCTGCAGGGTACTTTCTTGGTTTCCCTGACATCCAGTGACTCCTCCTAGTCTCCCCGCTGCAGTGCTTGGTTTGGGCAGCAGGTAGGGAATTGGTAGGGGTGGTGGGGGCTAGAGGAAGCATATGGCTGGGGCTGGCAGGAGCAGTGTGTGTGTCTAGGTGGGGGGGAGAGGGCAGCAGAAGCATGGTGCTCAGGTGGGCGGGGTGTGGGGACCCCATGGCGCACAGCCCCTGTTGCTGGCAGCAGCAGCAGCAGGCAGGCCCTCGGCATTTGTAACCCACGCAGGCACTGCCACCTGCCTTCCCTGCTCCCTGTCGCCATGGGCAGGGCCTGAGACTCGAGCAGGGGGTAGGGTTCCCCTGCACTTCTGGCAGAGTCCCAGGACCTCCACAGCAGGGAGTGGGGAAGGCAGCTGGCTCCATTGTGTGGGGCTTCCTCCTAGTGTTGTGCGAGTGCCAGGAGCTGCACATGCACCGCAGGGAGTCGCATGCCATAGGGGCAGGCTGGCCTGGCTGTGCTCCTTGCAGCCATATATAGCTCTGGCTGGAGCCATACACTGCTGGGCAGCAACACCTGCATAGGCCACAAGTGCCCTGTGCTCTGGCTGCCTGCTGCCACTGCTGCTGGCAGCAGAGGCTGTGCGCTATGGGTGGGGAGTGTGTGTGAGGGGGTCCCCACATCCCTCCACCCTTCCTCTCACCCAGACCCTGCCTTCACAATGCCCTTCCACATACATGCACCCAACAACACTCCATACACAAGAGGAGTAAGAGTATTTTTGAGCTGTTGTGCAATCCTATATACACTATGCAAATACAAATGATTGTGGCAAATTATTTAATAAAATTAAAATATGTTATAGTAGGTGTTTGACTTGTGGTGTGTGATTTGTTGTTTTTTTTTTTTTTTGGTTCCAAGATGGCAGCCCCTAGCTTTTTCTCCCCCCTCCCAAAAGGAGTACTTCTGGGGGCGAGGTGTGGGATTTACAGGCAAAGGTCAGGAGTTAAGGGTGGAACTTCTGGTCCCAAGACAGTAACCAAGGGGCAGGGCTACCCTTGTGGCCCTTGCCAACTCGCTGAAACTCATTAAGTGGCCTTCAAGCCAAAATAATTTCCTGCCCCTGATCTAACTTCACTGAACAGCATCGACCACTTGTATCTTAAGTTTTATGCTGTTTACACTGAGTAATCTAGTAAATGTTTAGCACAGTACTTCTGTGTTATGATCATGTGATATAAATATGCACTTTATCTTGCAGTCGAATGTGATTTTGAAATAATTGGTAGAAGGCTATCAACTTAACCCTAGTAAAGCATATGAATTGGCTTTATCCACTTATAATGAGGAAACATGCATTTTCTTGCATAGTGAGGAATTAAGATTTCTGGACCCGGACTTAAATAATGACAGCTGTCAAGGTTTGTACAAAGATTTTATTATATCAGTGGAAAATGTGCCAGTGACTCGTATGTTCATTTTTTTATACTTTATTCAGAATCTACTTCCACAACAAAGTACTTACAAGTTTGAGGTAGAAACCACAAATTTTGAAGCTGTCTGATTTTAATATTTTCAGCTGTGAGTCTTAAGTGTTTTGACCTCCTTCAGGAGTAACTACAGATTTGGTGGGCATTTTTTCTTTCATTTGTACTCAGTGTTAGAAAGAAGGTAAAAGGGGTAAACAAGTCTTCTATCCCTGCAAAAAAACATTTTCTCCTATCCAGTAACCTATTTTGAATACTGTTTCTGTTCCCAATCATCTTTTTTTTTTATTTTGGATTTTCCAGTGTGTTTTCTTATTGGATCAGAACGGTTTTTAGCACCCTGACTTGCACCTCACCTAAGACTGGACAAGTGCCATACCTGAGAGTTGCACTTCTTTCAAATAAGATAAGGAGCCACAATTGTTAGGGGAAGATTCAGATTGCCTTTTTTTTTTTCCCCCCCTCTCTGTTTTGCATTGTCTAACCAGTGCAAAGGAAACCAAACCACCTAAAAATCTCCTGTTGAAGCCTTATTAGCTGCAAAGGAAAACATCAGACAGTGGGGTGATGAAAAATACCCTCAACTGAGGGAAAGCAAAAACCAAACAAAACGTTGCTACATTAGCACAAACTGAGAAAACAGACAGCCTCTTAATGTTCCTGGCTCCTGTAAAGGCTGCATCCAGGATTTACATGATGCATCTCTGTCGCTCAAACATGCTCTCGGAACAAACGCTGTCCTGCATGCATGCTGTTTCAGTATAGTGGGGCTGATTCAAACACTTGGGTTTAAATTTACATTTTATTTTCATCTATTTTTTTTCTTAAGGCAGTTGCAATTTATGACCACGGTGCACTCTTAGGTTGGAGTGGGATGTGCTTGATGCTGCTGGGCTCAACTCATGGAAATGCCCACAGTCTTCGTTATATGTAGAAACTGCCATTCATACTTAATTTCTGATTCTACCTCTCTAGCTGTCCATGTTGAAGTTACCGCTTGGCATGCGTTGCAGAATAACTGTAATGTTGTGTCTGCCACTTCCTTTCTCCCTCAAAATGGAGTTGAATATCCAAGACTAAATAACTGCTGAATGTTTAGTAACTGCTACATTCTCTTAAAGACTTGGATGACCCTGTAATATGTCTGTAACAATACACTTAGTAGTTTAAATGTAAAGTTAGCAAACTTCAAATTTAGTTTTTAATCTTTGCTAATGAAAGGAATGCACTTATGGGGACCTCTAGCAATATTTTTCAACTATTTTGTACAATTTTGTTTTATCTTTGAGTTGCAGAAAGACAATGGGACCACTAGCTTGCCAACAGGAAATGCAGTTCTCCAAGAAATTGAAGGGCAGAACCAAGAAATGGCAGCTTTTTATCAAGCAGTTACAAAGTAAGAAACTACTGAATTCAAATTAGCTTTCAGAAATAAATAAATGGCTAAATAGCATTGTGTGCTATTGTTATTGAAAACATCACACTTGATAACACATTTTTAAAGTAATATTCACAGGTCCGGTCCTAGTATTTGGCTGCTTTAGGCCAACTTTAGTATATGTCCCTTCCCCCCATCAATTTATTCTAACTTGGTTTATACAGTGTAACATGTTGGCACAATGTTATGTAATAGCCTTAAGTTTACAGTTTGTTTGCATTTTTTGATTCATTGGCATACTCTAGGGTATTGAAGATGCAGCCTGTGAGTGGTCATCTGGCCCCCGGTGCTGCCTCTTGGTCTGAATTGACACACGCTGCAAGTAATGTCTGCCCTGGACCAGTGGCAGGAAAAGTGGGGGCAAGGGGAAGGGTATTGCATGCAGCATTAATTCCAGAGCAGGTGCTGTGGATCTGGCATGCAGTGGGGTCCACAATTCTGATCCACCCTGTGGACTGGCGCCATACCACCCTTCTCGCCCATAGGGCAGCTGAGTTTGACACCCCTCATTTACTGTCTTCATATCCTACACCTCACTGGCTTTTATCCTGTACTTACTTTGTATTTGCATTTTATTCTTTGTCTTTCCTCATTCTCTTCAGTGTCCTTCAAATTTCTTCACTCACCTTGTCCCAACTGACTTCTCTCAACCTATCCCTTATATCAGTAACTCCAGACAAAGGCATTTGCTGCAGCAGCCTCCTTCAGACGAATATGATCAGTGCCCAGCTGGTTTTTGAAAGTGAAGTGTACGGTAGTAGGAGAATGGATCCAGAGGGTCCCTTCTAACCTTCTGCTCCTATGAACTACTAAAGCAGTGATTCTTAAAGGCTGCGCAATGTCACACTAGTGTGCTGTGAGATCCCCAAGCAAGGAAGTAAATGCTCTCCTCCCCTGTTAGGCACCTTGTGCCTACTCTAGCAGCACGTGCAGCTGCTCATCTGGAGCTTGCCCCTCCCTCCCCCCCAGCCCTCTTTCTGGGAGGTGGTGGTGTGGGGTGGTAGGAGGTGGCACTCCATCCACACTTGCTCATGCATACCCCCTAGGGTCTTCTCAAGTGCCCCCAGAAGTATACTTACCCCCTGGTTGACAACCCCTGAAATAGAGTATTCATTATAGTCGCCTCATTCTAAAAGGAATAAGGCAAAAACAGTGAAGATCAAAACAACAAAACAAACTATTAGAGACATGGAAGACTCTATACTGGCAGGACTCCTTTTTTTCTTGAGTTTAGAAATCACTCAGCATCTTTTTTAGGTGCTATTATAATACAATGTAAGATTAAAATATTAGAAATTCCTTGTTTTAGCAAAGAGGTGAGCCCTAAGAAAGCTATTGTTAGTTTATTGCCATCATTTGTTTTTAATATAAATGGGGATCACACCATGTGGATGTATAATGTATCTTAGCCAAAAAAGAAAATAATTTTACTGCCTAGATAGCCTGTGGAACTTGTAGCTATAAGATACTGAGGCAAAGATGCTAGGATTCAAAGTCCAACTTCTGTCCAACTTCCGAGCAGGCAGGGGCTGTACAGCATGGCTGCTTGTCTCCATCACCTCGTGGGGTGGGGGATGGGAGCAGCCCCTCCTGACACTCCTAGTCCAGGTCTACACAGCACATGGGGGGGGGGGGGGGGGGAGCCCCCGGGAGGGGGGCCCTTCCCCCCCCCGCGCCCCTCCCCCCCGC